TTGTAACTCCCATTATCAGGGCTTGATAGGGATTAGCTATCCATTGTGATTTTTAGACAGCCTACAGGGTGTTGTCAGTTTTTCAACCCAAATCCACCCACACCTATCTAATTTGGGTTTCTATAAAAACCCCCATCTTTTCGAACTTTATAAATGTCCATACTAATAAAAATGTTATGAACCAAACTTAGAAATAAAATATCATTAGAATCCTTTATTTATAGTTTTACCCCTGTTAGATCCAAATCCTAGTCCTAATCTATAAAAAGATCATAATTGTTTTAATCCTAGTCCAAATCCAAAGTAGATCAAATGAAACTGAAAGTAATCTAATACCAAATAGAAAACAAGGCCATAATTGTTTTAAGCTACCAAAAGCTCAATTGTAGATCCATTCACAAATGGACAAGCACCCTTCAAGCTCATTGTTCACAGATATGCAAAATACTGAATTAAAAAACAAGGACAATACAACATATAAACCCACGCTACTACCAAATTAAAAACTTAACTCATGCTCTATATTGCAGTTCCAGTCATAAACACTTCATACTAAGTTTTGTATGGTGCAATTATTGCCTGCTTGCATACTCATTATCACCCTTGAACTGGTCGTTCATACCACCATCAGCATTACTACCATAGTCACCACCTCCTCCAGCGTTGTAGCTATCTCCTCCATAGCCCCACCCCGCCCATAGCCGCCGCACACTGTAACCACACCACCACTGTAGCCACCATTGTAGCCGCCGCCCCCACCACGATAACCACCAGTCCGCTCAGTAGCATAATTTACTTTCACCATGCGCCCGTGGAGTTCCTAAAACAAAATAATAGTCAGAAACTGCAAAGACATCAAAGATAAGGAGCATTTCAACCTAATAACAGCAGGTCATTTCCTCAAATGTAAATGTAAATGCAATTGGAAAAAACATATCATCAGTCATTATCTTGTAAATAGGTTCTAAGGCATATCATTGCAACTGATATTTTTAAAATCACAAGTAAAACACCAGGCTTAAGATTCTTGATTGGAATATGATGTTTACTATAACACAATTATCTACAATAACAGCAAGCCTGAGAAATATTTAATCCAAATAATTTAAGTTGCAAGCCATGAAAATAATCTTCTTCCATGAATAAACAAACATCTTCATGACACAAAATTGAAAAGAAGCAAAAACTGATTCTTATGTTATGAGAGCTCAGTCAATACTTTCCTGACATTAAAGCAAACAATAAAATATCAGGGTGGTGTATTATGTTATATTCCACTCTTAAAAACTGTCTTTTCATATTGTATTGTTATTAGAAAATTATTTGCAATTAACAAATTGAAAGACAGGTCTCCAAGAAGATTGAAAGACAGGTCTCAAAGTCTTTCATATATGTAGACAATATAATGACAAAATGGTAACAGAATCTGGGAAAAGAAAGATAGTCTTTATTGTGCATTACAGGAAATTTGGCTCTCCAACGTTTTTTAAAGTATTTGTTGTCATTGTTTTGAAAAGAGCATATTGAAAAGGCAACCAAAGATATTTCAAGACCAATGGGAAAGATCGTATTTGCTTCTCGTGGACTGCTTGTTATATTTCAGGAAGATGGCCAAAAATACTGCTCAAATAAAAACCATTTCTTCTCAGTTGCAAAAATTAGATAACAAAACTGATGAAACAGGAGCATGAGATATATGACTTGAGTTACGTTCATTACATAAAGGAAAGAGTTAATAATGAACAATTTCCCACTTGAAAATTCAAATGAGTACATAATGAACATTTTTTCCGTTTAAATTTCATGTTTTGGTCAGCGTGAATAAGTGATCTTGGTCTCATAAACTTTTAAAAAAGTATAAACAATGAATGTACAACAGTCCAAGATAATGAAAACTCATGAGTATGGTTTAACTAGTTCTCTTTATGGGTAAAAGAGCCGTCTATAAGGATAGAAAGAGCCAAGAGTATTGAGATTATGATTAAAGTTTTTAAATCTGCCAACAGTGAGTACCTTCCCATCAAGACCGCTGATAGCGTTAGAGGCCTCTTCAGTGGATGTAAAACTTACGAAACCAAATCCTCTTGACCTACTAGTATCCCTGTCAGTAATAACCCTCGCTGCAAAAGGATAGAGAGTAGTTTATTTCAGAACCATCAGCAGAACAGAGTGCTACGACCATACAGATACTTTAGTTTAAAAAAATGCATACCTTCGGTCACTTCACCAAAGGAAGTGAATGCTTCTCGCAACGACGCATCATCTGTACCATATGAAAGTCCTAAGAGAAATAAAACCATAAAATGAGCACTATTTTTAAACATTAAATGAACATTCAAGGCAGAAAATTTTATGTGAAATAACTTAAGTCAACAAACCTCCAACAAAAAGTCTGGAAGATGACATGCATCGTATAGCTTGGAATACTGATGGGTTGGAGGCATTAACCGCTGCTTTGAAGAGACTCCCAAGCTTGTTAGCAAAAGCCATTGTAGGGATCTGAAACCAAAATAGAAACAAACCGACTAGGGAATTCAATCAAGAGATAACAAAAAGTACAAAACATTCAATAACAATTCTCTCGTCTTGAAAAGGAAAACTATGTGTAAGAATATAACAAAATGAGGTGAAAAAGGCCCTAAGAATCCAAAGGCATCCCTTAGCGCTAAACCCTAAAATATACACACATTTTGATGGTAAACCAAACATCTTTGACATACATACTGGAACATGTTGGTACATAAATTTACCTAGTCATGGCATGAAGCTTGTGGATTACTCTCAGCTTTTTAAAAAAAAAATCTCAGACAAAATGATGGCATGTCTATAAGAAGTTAGATTTGCAATTAAAGGATACCTTTGATCTGTAACTAGCAAAACTTAAGAAGACCCAAATTAATGTATAGATCGTTTCAATCATTTACTCACTAGGCGCTGAAAGATTTTTTAAAAAGAAATTAACACACTAAAATCTTTCGCAAACATGGGAAAATGACCATCAAACTGAGAACTTTCAACTCAATCGATCTGGTTCTTACAAGACAACACCCTCATAAATGAATAATCCCCACAACGAAAGATTTGTTCTTGCCATTGCCAATACAAATACTAGGCCTTTTCTATACATTTCGCAACAAACACACAGAGATCTCAACCATTTAACGCAATACACAGATCAAAATTGCACATCTTTGATCAGAGCAAACGACGGCGTGTCACAAACAAATGAACTGAATCAGATCAAACAATTCTAGAGGTTCCAACTTGTTTCAAACTTAGCCGAAACGAAACAAAACGAAGGAAATCATAGATATCTCATACCTCAAAATGAAAAAGAAACTAAATTTACGGCCTTTATTAGAGTGCGAAGAAAAGTACCCCTCGGACTCGAGATGAGACTGAAGAAAGAAACCCTTGCAAGGGTTTTAGCGAGGGCGAGGGTTTAGGGGAATGCGGGCGTGAAATGGATATTTAACATGCTTTTGTATCGAATCCTGACCGTCCAATCAGTATTGTTTTACAAGAGAGTTTATTTGCCGTTGGATGTTGGCCGGTCCAGATGGAGGCTACAAAGCGATGTCGCCGCATGTAAGCTCCATCCAGATTTTGGGTAGCAGACTTACTGAGTTTTCCCAAATTAGATGCCTTAAACACAAAAAATTAAGGTCCTAAATAGTCGGGGTTGCCAACCCCGACTATTTAGGAAGGTGATTAGCCGGTTAATCATAAAATCGGGTCGGTTTTGATAAATAAATAAAAAACCGGTCGATTTTGAAAAATAAAACTCTAAATTGGGCTGTTTTGAAAATTTGTTCAAAAAAATAATAATTATTTTTTATTTCACTTACCCCACGAATTATCACTTTAATTCTACCTTATGTTTTAAATTGTCACTTGATCCATTTCAAAAATCCACAGAATAATAAGGGGTTGTTTGGTTGGTCCCAAAAACGTAGAAAATGCACCATGGAAAACTGACGCGGAAAATTTTCGTTGTTTAATTTCCCACACAATAAGTCGTTTGGTTTGCAAAAATTACAAAAGAAAGTGACGAAAAACTAAAGCACCATGTAGGATTTTTTTTTGGGGGGGGGGAATTTTCCTCGTTCATAACCCCAATTTCGAAGAAAAATCGCGGAAAAATCCTCTCCGTACCTTTCCGAATAGAAAAGGGGATCTAGATTTTCGGTTCCTTCAGCTCTTGTCACCACTCTCTCGTTCTTCTTCCTCCTCTTTCCCCATTCCTCCTTCACCTCCCGTTGTGCATGTTGGCCTTCTTGTTTTGATGATGATTTACAAACAATTTACTACTAATGTTGTTTGTCTAGTGTTTTGTGCATTCCTATGTATTGTAGACAAACAACGTTGTTGGAGGATGGATGGATTAAGCCTACACGATCATATCAAGAGGAGGTTGGCGGATTTGTGGAGTGAAGCTACATACAACTCAAGTTAAAGATCAAGTTCAAGCTTCATCCGCAACGTGTACCAAGTTGAGCTACAATGAAGATCAAGATCAAGCTTGGGTAATTTAGTATAGGTTTATATTATGTGTGTTTAATACGTTAAGCTCAATATCTATACACACACATTTTATTGGTTTCTTCATATATATATATATATATATATATATACATAAGTTTTGGTTTCTATGCATATATATAGATATATATATATACATGCATGGTATTGGGTTTTCATGTTTATAATATGAAATCACATATTTCATATTTACTATTGTGTTTTTGAAAACATTGCATAGAATATGCAATTTTGTGAAAATATTATATTCTTAGTTTGTAGACTT